CCTCTGGCCCGCTTGGAAGAGTAGGCCAAAAATTACCCTCCAGCCTCGCGGGATAATCTCTCTAGAGCTCCCTGTAGCGGTGGCGTGAGCAGGCAATTGCAACCGGTTGCGAGCAAATGCACGGCCTGGTTGCGTGCGATTAAACCGCTCGCGCGTGGACCGGTTGCATGCAATCAGTTGCGCACTTTTTGGTCGCTTGCAACTGGATCCATTATAGAGAGAGTACTGTTCGCGGACGCATCTGCAATCGGTTGCTGCTCACGGTCGAGTTGGACTCGACTCGCAGGCGACGCCGATCGTCGACACTTTGTGCGGCCGCTGCGATTGGCCGCTTCCACCCCCCAAATACCCTTGAGCTGAGCGACCTACCCGCTCGGGCGATGACCACCAAAAAAACCGTCGTTATTTTAAAATCCTTTATATTAAGTTCGCTTGCTTGCTTGCTTGCGTGCATGCTTGCTTGCTTACGACCGTGCAAATCTTTCGGCCTTTTTTTAACACACTTCCCGTGATCCAATCGAGCTGACATTTTGCACACAGACTCGTTGTGCGTGACAATTTATTTTCGTAAATTTTTTTTCCAAAATTTTACACTGTTTAGGGAATTTTTTAAAAATATTTAATTACCAATTGCTTAATGGTGGCAGACAATCATCTGACCCATAGGTGGCAGCCATCTCAAGCCAGAAGACGAGAGGACTCTAGCCGCCACGCATATAAAGGATTTATAGTGAAAAACTTTGTTTTTACGGGTACATTTTTTGTGGTTTTGTTTTGCAGGCGGCGATAGAGTTGCGCGATTTGTGTGTGAGTGTGTGTGAGTGTGTGTGAGTGTGTGTGAGTGTGCGTGAGTGTGCGTGAGTGTGTGTGAGTGTTCGTGAGTGTGTGTGCGTGTGAATGTGTGTGAGTGTTCGTGAGTGTGTGTGCGTGAGTGTGTGTGAGTGTGTGTGAGTGTGCGTGAGTGTGCGTGAGTGTGCGTGAGTGTGCGTGAGTGTGTGAGAGTGTGTGTGAGTGTGTGTGAGTGTGTGTGAGTGTGCGAGAGTGTGCGTGAGTGTGCGTGAGTGTGCGTGAGTGTGTGTGAGTGTGCGTGTGTGTGAGTGTGTGTGAGTGTGCGTGAGTGTGTGTGAGTGTGCGTGAGTGTGCGTGAGTGTGTGTGAGTGTGTGCGCGATGTGTGTGTGAATGTGTGTGAGTGTGTGTGAGTGTGCGTGAGTGTGTGTGAGTGTGTGTGAGTGTGCGTGAATGTGTGTGAGTGTGCGTGAGTGTGTGTGAGTGTGCGTGAGTGTGTGTGAGTGTTCGTGAGTGTGTGTGCGTGTGAATGTGTGTGAGTGTTCGTGAGTGTGTGTGCGTGAGTGTGCGTGAGTGTGCGTGAGTGTGCGTGAGTGTGTGTGAGTGTGTGTGAGTGTGCGTGAGTGTGCGTGAGTGTGTGTGTGAGTGTGTGTGAGTGTGCGTGAGTGTGTGTGAGTGTGCGTGAGTGTGCGTGAGTGTGTGTGAGTGTGTGCGCGATGTGTGTGTGAATGTGTGAGTGTGTGTGAGTGTGCGTGAGTGTGTGTGAGTGTGTGTGAGTGTGCGTGAATGTGTGTGAGTGTGCGTGAGTGTGTGTGAGTGTGCGTGAGTGTGCGTGAGTGTGTGTGAGTGTGCGTGAGAGTGCGTGAGAGTATGCGTGAGTGTGTGTGAGTGTGCGTGAGAGGGCGTGAGAGTGTGTGTGTGTGTGAGTGTTTGTGAGTGTGTGTGAGTGTGCGTGAGTGTGTGTGAGTGTGCGTGAGTGTGTGTGAGTGTGCGTGAGTGTGTGAGTGTGCGTGAGTGTGCGTGAGTGTGCGTGAGTGTGTGTGAGAGTGCGTGAGTGTGTGTGAATGTGTGTGTGTGCGACTGATCGCTCTGGGCGTGGACCCGGCTAATAGCAGGTCGGCACAATGGCACGTTGCTAGTCGAATTTTCCGGTGGAGTTATTTTGTAACAGTCTTCATTTGGCCTTCACGGCTATTGGACGTAATTAGTGGCGAGCAAGCACGTTTAAACAAAATAAAAAAAACACACTCAACACAGATGTCACGACAAATTATGTGGGTGGCCTTTAAAAGAATAGAAAAAAACCAACCCGTATATCATATACTCTTTGTTTCTTTCGGTAAAGTCACGTAGGTAGAAAAAAAATAATAGATCACGACGTTTCGATCGCAACACAAGCAATCGTCATCAGGTGGTTAGCGCACTGCACTACGAACCGTGCGACCCAAGATCGAGTCCCACTCACGAGGAGCAACATCAGTGGCGAATATTTGAACCGGTTCTGGGCCTCTCCGAGGTCGACTCAGCCTTAATGGGGAGACAAAGGCGGCCGGGCGTGGCGTAGACTCACCCACCCCTTCGTGTGCTGTGCCGGCCTTCATAGGTGCCACGCGCTAAACAGCACTTACCCCAACGTTCTGTTAAAGGCTATACGGGGGATCTTTGTATTTGTGGCCACGAATGCGCGCGTGTGTGTAAACAGCACGCACTCAATTGATTATGCACGTTCGTGTAATTTCTCTTTTTCTTTAAATATTTACGAATCAACACGCGTTTGCATTGAGTGAATTAATCTCGGCAAGGAATGCACGGGCACCCGCAATCATCCGCAATCCCCAAGTCCAGGACACGGACAACGTCTGTGACGTCCCTTGTGAAGTTGAAATCTGCGCGTTCGTTTTCATTGGCTGAGCACTGCACCCAATTACTCACCAAAGCGGCCAGCAACAATTAGCACTCCTTAAGGTTGCAACGGATAGGAGTTGATGCGTTTCTTGACTTGAGCAAGGTTGTTGTTATTGTTGTTGTGAGATCGGCAGAAGAGATGACTGAGATGGAATTCTAACGTGGAGAGAGAGAAAACGCAGAGAGAGAGATAAGTGTTGTGCCCTGCAGTGTGGTGCGTGGGTGGGGTGACTGTGTGAGTAGGTGGGTGAGCGAGTGAGTTAATATGCGAGCGAGTGCGTGAGTGTATTATTGTGTTGGGGAGCGGTAGTGTAGCAGTTAGCGCGCTGCGCTATAAACCCCGGCATCCCAAGTTCGATTCCCGCTAACGGCCAACGCCTGTGACGATTATCTGAATCGGTCCTGGGCCTCCCCCAGGTCGACTCAGCTTCAAATGACTACCTGGTGCAGTGGGTAAAACCGTCGCCACTAGAGAGACAAAGGCGGTCGGGCGTGGTGCTGACCACCCACCCCCTCGTGTGCCGTGCCGGCCTTCGTAGGTGCTCGCTAACAGCACTTGCCCCAACCGTCTGTTAAGGCTATACGGGGATCTTTGTCTTTGTTTCAGTGTGTTGTTGTGACCTGCAGTGTGGCGAGTGAGTGAATGTGTGAGTAGGTGGGTGAGTTAATGTGTGTGAGTGAGTGAATGTGTGAGTAGGTGGGCGAGTGAGTTAATATGCGTGTGTGAGTGAATGAATGTGTGAGTAGGTGGGTGAATAAGTGAATGTGTGAGTAGGTGGGTGAGTGAATGTGTGAGTAGGTGGGTGAGTGAGTGAATGTGTGAGTAGGTGGGTGAGTGAGTTAATGTGCGTGTGTGAGTGGATTTGTGATTTGGTTGGGTTAGTGAGTGAGTAGGTGGGTGAGTGTGTGAGTGAGTAGGTGGGTGAGTGAATGTGCGTGTGTGTGAGTGAGTGTGTCAGTGTGCTGCTGTGACCTGCAGTGTCGAGGTTGGACACAGTAATAGATGAGATGGAAGAATCCTTATCCCGACGAACACACCGTGGGTCGAGCAATCAAGCAGTGAAGTTCACGGGAAGATTAGCCGTGGTAGTAGCAGCAGCAGCGATAGAAGAGTGACACGAAGCTGAATGGCTGTGGGTGAGCGAGTGACTGGAGCGAGTCGGTGAGCGCTGGATCATCAATCAACGGGCGATGGCTTTACATAATTAACGGCGCACAGGATCAGAATTAACGTATCACATTTGGCATTTTCAAAGTAGGATAATCCGAGTATGAGATTACTTTAATTTAATTAAGTTTAATCATTTACCCCCCCCCCCAACCCCACGGGGTGCTGAAGCGTACTTCTGCATCCTGGTGAGTTCGGCTTGGTGAAGGCGATCGGTGTGGGGGAGGGGGGTAGTGGAGGGGGTGGCGGCTAGGACCAATTCAGTTTAACACGTGCAGGCTTTCGCGACCAATATTATTCATAATCAACGTTTTTGGGTTAGATCGCGTTATTTATAAATGTGTCGTAACCCTCCACCACCCGACACGACCAATCAGTAAAAAAAAGTGTCACGTTGACAAAAGACAAAAAGTTCACGACTTTAGCCTACCGGTGGAGGGTTACGACACATTTGTAAACAACGCGATCTAACCCAAGAACGTTTATTATGAATTATTATGAGGACCGATTGAGTTGTCACCCTCCAGCCACTCACGATGGCCATGGTCAGGGATCGAACTCAACTGGGTGGGTTTGGAGCGCGATGTGCTCACTCGCTCCAGCCGCAGATTTGCCCGGACACCTTGGTCACATAGAGGCTACGTGCTGCCCTGCAAGCGCTCGATCGCAACACTGCTGGCAGAAGGGCCTCCTCGAAAAACACCCTCTCTCTCTCTCGCTCAGACACAACAACAGTGGACACAACAACAATAGACACAACAATGGACACAACAACAGTTCACACAACAATGGACACAACAACAGTTGACACAATAGACACAACAACAATAGACACAACAACAGTGGAAACAACAACAGTGGACACAACAATGGACACAACAACAGTTGACACAACAATAGACACAACAATGGACACAACAACAATAGACACAACACCAGTTGACACAACAATCGACACAACAACAGTTGACACAACAATAGACACAACAACAATAGACACAACAACAGCTGACACAACACCTGAGCTACCCATTGTGCCCCCCCACACCCACCGCCCCCCTCGCTCCAACACCCCCCCCACCATATTTCACCTCCTGCCCCCCAATCGCCACTCAAGCTGCCTCCATGTTCTATCCGCAGCTACATGAGGCCCCGTCACAAAGCCTGACGGGAGGGAGACCCCGAGGTCGGGACGCTTTGCATGGAGCCGCGGCCATGGAGACACATCCTCGTCTGCCACCGACTTCTCCGTCGCGACCATCACCAGCAGCGCCTCCATCATCGCCATCGTCGTCACCGTCTTCATCATCTTCTCCATCATCGTCGTCATCAACGACAACAACAAGAACAACAACAACAACAAAAGCACCTCCATCATCATCATCAACATCATCATCAACATCATCGTCTCCATCAAAATCATCGTCTCCATCAAAATCATCGTCGTCATCATCACCATCGGTGCCGCCGTCGACATCATGGCAGTACACCTGCTCATCGTCAACAACAACAACAACATCGTCGTCATCACCCTTCCCGTCCACACCACCCCCGTCGGCCCTGCTGCTGCTGCTCGCCCTACTCGCCGTGTGGGCTTTGCTGTCGTCCGCCGCCGACGAGGTCCAACCCAGGACCACCACGAGCCCCAAACGGCGGCCCCATCACCACCCCGGCTTCGCCAACAGCCGTGGCCGTGCGCTGGCCACCACGTTTCCATCTCCTCCTCCACCTCCTCGTCGTCACCCACCTGGACCTCCTACTCCTCCTGCTCGCAACAACAACAACAACAACCCAACCACTGGTCGACCTTCCCGCACATCGTCCTCCAGCCAGGAGGCGAACACCTGCCGCGGTTACTACGACGCGATGGACCAGTGGGACCCCCCATTCAGCTGCAACAACAGCGGCAGCTACAGATACTGCTGCGGCACGTGCAACGTGCGCTTCTGCTGCACGGATCCACAGCAGCGGCTCCATCAGGACGCGTGCGCCAACCACGTGACCCCCTCGCGGAGCCCCACGCCGATAGCGGAGGAGCCCACGGAGAGCAACGTGGACGTCTCCACGGGGGTCGTCGTCCCGGCCGTGTGCGGAGTCATCGCCGTGCTGCTGCTGAGCGGAGTGCTCGCCAAGATGGGGCTCGACAAGGCTGCGGACGCGGCCAGGAACATCAACTTGCCCATGTGAGTCAATGTGCTAGAGGTTGGTTGGTCGGATGATGTGTGTGTGTGTGTAAAAACACATTGTCCTGCGGAGGGAGCTGGTAGGAACGTTGGGTTGCTCGGTCAATGGCCAGGGTCAACGGCAGCGTGGTGTATTCCGCAAATGTGCCCGACTGTGAGGGCGGGCACAAGCCGGCGTGAGTGGGTTGAACGTTGAGTTTTAGAAGGGCACCACGGGGTGACCAGCCCTTCCCCAACCAGCCCCACCCCTCCCATCCCCCACCCAGCCCCACCCTCCCCACACAGCCCCTCCCCACCCTCCCCACCCAGCCCCTCCCCACCCTCCCCACCCAGCCCCTCCCCACCCTCCCCTCCCCACCCAGCCCCACCCTCCCTACCCAGCCTCTCCCCACCTTCCCCACCCAGCCCCTCCCCACCTTCCCCTCCCCACCCAGCCCCACCCTTCCCACCCAGCCCCTCCCTGCATGACGGACACAATAATCCCCTGTGGGCTGGTGTAACTAGGAGGTTCCTACCAGTATAAATGAATACTGCCACTACGGGTAAAGCAATGTAGAACTTGCAAGCTGCCAGGCTTGTCGGTTAAGTGAGTCTGCCACTGTGTCGGCCAGGAACATCAACTCGCCCGTGTGAATCAAGCAGAGAGGTCGTGGGGGGAGGGGGTGGGAGAGGAGGGTGCGGACTATACGGGAGGTGGTATATGTGTATGTGTGTGTAAATACATAAATAATGCGACTACAGGTAATGCAATGTAGAAATTACAAGCTGCCAAGCCTGTCCGTTAAGTGAGCCTTCCACAGTGTCGGGCCAGTAACATCAACTTATCTATAAGTAAAGAGTGAGAGTGGTGTGTGTAAATATTGTGTGTGTGTATTGGGGGAGTGGTGGCGCAGTGGTTAGCGTCCTGCGCTAAGAATCTGGCGACCCCAAAATTACCGTGGAAAATGTTTTCACCGGTCTGGGCATCAGCGTGGGTATGTGAACATCGCCACTAGGGAGACAAAGGCGGTCAGGCGCCGTGCTGGCCACCCACCCCCCTCGTGTGACGTGTTGGCCTTCACAGGTGCCCGCTGGCAGGACTTGCCCCAATTGTCTGTTATAGGCTTAATGGGGGAGGAAGGAGGTCTTTGTCTTTTAACGAATAAATAAACACTGTTACCACCAATACATTGACATAAAAAATAAAGGATTTAAAAACAAAGTTTGTCACTATAAATCCTTGATATGCGTGGCGGCTAGAGTCCTCTCGTCCTCTGGCTTGAGATGGCTGCCACCTATGGGTCAGATGATTGCATGGCACCATTAAGCAATTGGTAATTAAATATAATATTTTTGTCCTAAAAAGTGTAAAATTTTAGAATTTTATTTTCACTAACATTAATTGTCACGCACAACGAGTCTGTGTGGAAAATGTCAGCTCGATTGGATCACCGGAAGTGGGTTAGAAAACGACCGAAAGATTTGCACGGTCGTAAGCAAGCAAGCAAGCACGCAAGCACGCAAGCAAGTGAACTTAATATAAAGGATTTAATAAAACTGCTAAGGAAACCTTTGATTGTGTTAGCCAGGGCATCAACACGCTAGAGCAAGAGTTAGAAAAACTTATTACGTACTCAAAAGCCAACGCATTAAATGACCCTCACATTTTTTCCAGCCTGAGTGGCCAGGAACATCAACGTGTCCATACAAAAATGGATTGTGTTCAAAATGTATATTTGAATAATTACAGGCTGATACGCTTGGCTTTTAAGTGAGCTGTACGATTTGTTGTTCTTTGAGCAGCCAGCCACATTAATATACCACAGTAAGAGTAGCGAAAATAATGATAGTTAAAATAAAAAAATACAAGCTGGCAAGCAAGTCTGATGGTCCGAGTGGCCAGGAGCAATCCTTCGTATTTGAGAACGGCCCACGAAAGCGGATATCTGGGAGCTACCTCTGAGGCCCCCTCAACTGACCCCTGTTGCACACAGTCATGGGCAACACTTTCCCCACCCACTCTGCATACGTTCACATTCGACATAAGACACCCAAACCCACGACATTTCAATTCTCGGACCTGGAATTTAAACAAGTTAAATTGAAACAGAACCACATTTTACGGTCCGAATGTTAATTTTGCCGCCTGCTATAGATTGCTGAGGGTTTGTGTGTTGCTTACCAGCTACTCGTAGTGTGGCTATTAATAAGCTAATTAAAAAAACTGGGTCAGATTTTTATTTTATTATTTAACGCAATTCTCATCAGGCCCTGTGGTGTCAAAAAAATGCATTCTCCAACTCTTCTTGTTATTAGAATTATTCTCTCTGCCTCTCTATACGCTGTGAAGAAGGAGCATTTTGCCGAAATGTCGTCTGTTGTTTATTATTTATTTTTATAAGGCCACAGTGCTATTGACGAATGTGTCAGATAGTAGGTGAAGCGTTCTTTTTCGGTGACGGGGTAGGGAGAGACCACCTGCTCAATCAATGGCAGCTGTCTGGATTCTATCTCAGAATCTCGGCTGCGGAAGCTCTCGGCTCTGACCCCTGACCTCTGCGCCATCCGGGCCGCGCCGTCACAGCCTCCACTTTTTGTTGATACCAAGTAGCAAGGAACACGTGCCGAAGATGGAAAATAGATACGTAAATAAGGAAAAAAAATATATATATATACTGGTAGGAACCTCCTGGTTACACCAGCCCACAGGGGATTATTGTGTCCGTCGTGCAGGGAGGGGCTGGGTGGGGAGGGTGGAGAGGGGCTGGGTGGGGAGGGTGGGGCTGGTTGGGGGGGGAGGGTGGGGAGGGGCTGGGTGGGGAGGGGCTGGGTGGGGAGGGTGGGGCTGGTTGGGGGGGGAGGGTGGGGAGGGGCTGGGTGGGGAGGGTGGGGAGGGGCTGCGTGGGGAGGGTGGGGAGGGGCTGGGTGGGGAGGGTGGGGAGGGGCTGGGTGGGGAGGGTGGGGCTGGTTGGGGGGGAGGGTGGGGAGGGGCTGGGTGGGTAGGGTGTGGAGGGGCTGGGTGGGGAGGGTGGGGAGGGGCTGGGTGGAGAGGGTGGGGCTGGGTGGGGGGTGGGGCTGGGTGGGGAGGGGCTGGTCACCCCGTGGTGCCCTTATAAAACTCAACATTTCACCTACTCACGCCGGCTTATGCCCGCCCTCACAGTCGGGCATATTTGCGGAATACACCACGCCGCCGTTGACCCTGGCCATTGACCGAGCAACCCAACGTTTCTACCAGCTCCCTCCGCAGGAATGTGTCTACCCAATACAATTGTTACTTTATTTAATATTTTATTTTAAAGTAATTTGGCCTGGGCTCAAGGACTATTTTGTAGACGATGATGTGGTGGTGGCCAGGAGATGTCAGTACAGCGTTGGGTCCAGCGCACAACTTAAGTCAAAGGATTGAATCTCTCTCGTGGATCGCATCCATTTGTGCGGAGGTCTGAGTGGTACGCGTGGTGGGAGCTCTGAGTGGTACATCTGGTGGGAGCTCTGAGTGGTACATCTGGTGGAAGCTCTGAGTGGTACATCTGGTGGGAGCTCTGAGTGGTACGCGTGGTGGAAGCTCTGAGTGGTACACGTGGTGGGAGCTCTGAGTGGTACGCGTGGTGGAAGCTCTGAGTGGTACATCTGGTGGGAGCTCTGAGTGGTACGCGTGGTGGAAGCTCTGAGTGGTACGCGTGGTGGGAGCTCTGAGTGGTACATCTGATGGGAGCTCTGAGTGGTACGCGTGGTGGGAGCTCTGAGTGGTACATCTGGTGGGAGCTCTGAGTGGTACGCGTGGTGGGAGCTCTGAGTGGTACGCGTGGTGGGAGCTCTGAGTGGTACGCGTGGTGGGAGCTCTGAGTGGTACGCGTGGTGGGAGCTCTGAGTGGTACGCGTGGTGGGAGCTCTGAGTGGTACGCGTGGTGGGAGCTCTGAGTGGTACGCGTGGTGGGAGCTCTGAGTGGTACGCGTGGTGGGAGCTCTGAGTGGTACGCGTGGTGGAAGCTCTGAGTGGTACGCGTGGTGGGAGCTCTGAGTGGTACATCTGGTGGGAGCTCTGAGTGGTACGCGTGGTGGGAGCTCTGAGTGATACGCGTGGTGGGAGCTCTGAGTGGTACGCGTGGTGGGAGCTCTGAGTGGTACGCGTGGTGGGAGCTCTGAGTGGTACGCATGGTGGGAGCTCTGAGTGGTACATCTGGTGGGAGCTCTGAGTGGTACGCGTGGTGGGAGCTCTGAGTGGTACGCGTGGTGGGAGCTCTGAGTGGTACGCGTGGTGGGAGCTCTGAGTGGTACATCTGGTGGGAGCTCTGAGTGGTACGCGTGGTGGGAGCTCTGAGTGATACGCGTGGTGGGAGCTCTGAGTGGTACGCGTGGTGGGAGCTCTGAGTGGTACGCGTGGTGGGAGCTCTGAGTGGTACGCATGGTGGGAGCTCTGAGTGGTACATCTGGTGGGAGCTCTGAGTGGTACGCGTGGTGGGAGCTCTGAGTGGTACGCGTGGTGGGAGCTTTGAGTGGTACGCGTGGTGGGAGCTCTGAGTGGTACGCGTGGTGGGAGCTCTGAGTGGTACGCGTGGTGGGAGCTCTGAGTGGTACGCGTGGTGGGAGCTCTGAGTGGTACATCTGGTGGGAGCTCTGAGTGGTACGCGTGGTGGGAGCTCTGAGTGGTACGCGTGGTGGGAGCTCTGAGTGGTACGCGTGGTGGGAGCTCTGAGTGGTACGCGTGGTGGGAGCTCTGAGTGGTACGCATGGTGGGAGCTCTGAGTGGTACATCTGGTGGGAGCTCTGAGTGGTACGCGTGGTGGGAGCTCTGAGTGGTACGCGTGGTGGGAGCTTTGAGTGGTACGCGTGGTGGGAGCTCTGAGTGGTACGCGTGGTGGGAGCTCTGAGTGGTACGCGTGGTGGGAGCTCTGAGTGGTACGCGTGGTGGGAGCTCTGAGTGGTACGCGTGGTGGGAGCTCTGAGTGGTACGCGTGGTGGGAGCTGTCTCTCCCTGTCTTCTCCGCTTTCCTCATCCCGCACGGGAAGCCAAACTC